CGGAGAAAGGGCCGCCTGTTCCCGGCCGCGGCCCCTGGGGTCGGCCTGGGCGCCAGCGGCCGCTGTGGGCAGCGGCACAAAGGGCCCTTCAGCTCGGCCTCCGCCCCACAGTGTCCTTCTTCGTGGTGAGCCTGGGGGGCACGCTGGTGGGCGTCGTCTTCGCCTTCCTGCTGTCGCTGGTGACGCGCTTCACCAAGCACGTGCGCGTCATCGAGCCCGGCTTCGTCTTCGTCATCTCCTACCTGTCCTACCTCACCTCGGAGATGCTGTCCCTGTCGGCCATCCTGGCGTGAGTGGGCCCCGACCGGCCCCGCAGCCCCGCCCTCCGGCCCCGCCGAAACCCTCCCGCGGGGAACAGCCCCCGACGGCCCTTCCGGGAAACCTGCCGCCCGGCGCCCACGCCCGACGCCGGAACCGGAAGCGGGGAGGGCAGAGGCGACCGGAAGGCGGTGTTGCCAGGGTGACCCCGCGCCTCCGCGACCTTCGGGGCAACTGGGGCCCCCCAGCCCGCAGGGGGTAGTGGTCTGGGGGAGCTGAGCGATCGCTGGTCGCCCCCTCGCCCTTTCTCTTCCCAGGAGCTGGGCGCCGCCATTATTGACTGACGAGCCTGCGGGCTCTACTCATGGTCCTCTGGTTTCCTGTGGGTACTGGGTGGGTGGCTTGATGTCTCGGCCATTAAATTGGGAGGAAAGAGAATTAATGTACTGTAAGCTCTCACGATATTACACACTTAGCTTCAGGGCAAAACTTCGATTTTATTCTACAGCTTTACCGATGAGAAGCCGAGGCCAGAGAGCTTAGAGAGCTCTCTAGTGCTAGAGAGGAGTTTCTCGGATTGCAGAACACTTAACCGCTGCTCCTCGCGAGTAGATAAAGTCCACCCTCTCATTTAATCTGCTATTACCACATACAACAGCTCAGTGTTTATTAACTAATTCTTACAGCTGCGCTTGTCAAGTGTCAGATACTGCGACATCCCTCTTAACGATCAGGACACAGCTGAGAAGATGACAGATAAGAAAACTGGCAGACACCACCTCCTGCCATCCCCACATCTCCCTACAAAGTAGTCAGGTGCTATTCTTATGCCCATTTTACAGATGAGGAAACTGAGGCTCGGTGAGATAAAGTTACAGGGTTTATGTAATTTCATATTTCCCCAGCGCTTAAGCACCAAAGTGTGCTGGCTTTAATTAGCTTGCGTGGTTGGCCCTAAAAACTTAGCAATTCACTGTAGTCATCTCCCACCTTGAGCCACACACATTACTTTTAGTCAACGATTTAGTCCGTGAAAGTCCATTTGGAGACCTGGCCTAGAATTTAGGGTTCCTGGCTCAGATTGGGTTTTGCCAGTGGGAAGAAAGGAAATCGTAGAATAATCCAGATGTCTTGTATCCCCCACCTTCTATGATCTAGGATTTCCCATATTAGTTGCAGTCAACGATGCAATGGTTACGTTTAGCCACAAGGAGGCGACAGGAGCACAGGATGCAGAAGTCAAAAAGGGAAGGGACAGGAAG